CAATGTCACGGCCCCCGGGTGAGTCACAGACAATGAACAAAGCAAAAATAAAAAATGGGGGGGGAGGAGATAATGAGGGGAAAAAAGAAATTTGTTGTGTGCAGCAGGTCACGCCTGCAGCGTGCCTCTCCATTCCCAAATTCCCCTTGGGCTCCAGCTGCTCCCAGCCCCTTCCCTGCTTTGCCCATCCCAATAATCCCCCTTTCAGCACAGCTCTTAACTCTCCCCTAGAGACACACATACCCCTGACATGCAAATCTACTGAATTCTGCAAACCTATCTACCTTTGTCCTACGCTTCTTCTATCTATTTATATCTCATATATACAGTGCATTTTACTCCACTTCCTTGAAAAGATTTCCTTCCACAAAAAAGCATCGACTCTGCCAGCCCGGGGCGGCAGCGAGCCCACGTGGGACATGTGGAAATCCCTGAAGGTCCAGCCTCATGGAAAAATACCCCCAGACAAGAGCTACAGCTGAAACCAACCCGAAACTCTGACAACTCCCAAATCTACGTCACTGCCTGAAGCAGGAGGAGAAACCAAAATGCCAGGAGGGTTTTGTCCTGACACAGGCTGCAAGGTGTGAGCAGCAGTAAGTCACGAACACGTGTCGTGCCCGGATGCCATGAGACATGACTAAGCCCTGCCTGGGCTGCTGAGCCCAAACCCAGAGCCCTCAACACCCCCAGAGGTGGGTACAGAAAATTATTATTCCTTTTATATTCCCTTTACCAAACACTGTCACCTCCAGACTTCCTCCAAAGCGGGTGGCACCGAGCCAGCTGACAAGGTGATAAACACCAGATCAACAGCCTGGAGCCCAGCAGTGCCCCAAATCAGCCTCCAAGTCACAGGTGACCTGCACAGGGCAGCAGGAATGAGCATCCCCCTGGGAAAAGCATCACCTGCTCACAGAGACACCTCTCACCACCCTGGGGGCGCGTGGAGACCCCCCTGCTCAGGGGGACAGACCACAAACCATGCTGAGGTTCACACTGGGAAGAGACCCCGGGACCCTCCAGCTCCCCACATCCTACAAACCCACTGCTCCAAGTGCCTCTGGATGCAGTAAGTGGCAGGCACAGAAATGGGGCCCCACAAACGAGCCCTAAATGCTCCCCTTCCCCCCCACTTACAGTAACTTGCATTTTCCTTCATGTCAACACTGAGAAACTGAAACACTGCTGGGTTTGCACGGCAAAGTCACCTCAAAAACACGTGGGTGAAAGCTCAGCAAGTCCTGCTGGAAAAGCAGGCAAAGCACTTTCCCTGCCCTTTGTCCCTGACTGCACAGGGACACACAGGTTTTATTGGAGAGGCTGCGAGGGACGGCACCCCACGACCACCCCCTCTTTCCAAGGGATCTCAGCAACACCCTATACCTACCTCTCCATGTCATCTCCCCCAGCTTGGGGTGCCCAAATCCTGCAGCCCCCACAGTGGCACGAAAACGGCACTGGAGCATCCCCACGGTGGCCACCTTGCAGGCAGAGGCACCAGCAAGGACCCCCCAAAACTGGGTTAGCACCCCTGCACTGACGCCTCAGAGGAGCCCAGGGACAAGTCTCCTTGTGATTCAGAGGCATTTTTTCACCGTGGTCCAGGATTTGCCAAGGGACCTAATGAAACATGGCATTCACAATGTGCAAGGAGGAATCGTACGGTTACTGATAAAGAAAGAGCCGTCTACCTCAGACCAGCTTATAAAAATAAGAGAGTTTGGCCCAGGAAGATAAAAATCAAGATATATTTTGCAGCATGAAAGAAAAAAAAAAATAATAATAAAAAAAAATGAAGCAGCAGCAGCAGCAGCTGTGTTTGCAAACCACCAAAGCGGCACGGAGTTCAAACGGGGATGAAATGGGGGAAGCGTTTGGCATCGTCTGACACGGCTTCGATGTCCCAGGTCCGAAGGGAGGAGAGAGGAGCGACCCCCTGGAGGGCATGGGAACCAGAGGGCTGGGAGAAGCGAGGAGGTTGCCAAAGCAAGAGGTGAGCCAGTCAGCCAAAGCACGGCCCGAGTCTATCGGAAGGTAACTCGGTCTAGCAGGGAAAGGAGTTAAGGATGGTTTTAGGGAGGAGCTGCTTCCATGAGGCGCCCGGGCGGGATTTCCCACTCCAGCAGCGTGGCAGGTACACGGCTGAAAGAGAGAGGGCTGCAGCTCCAGGCTCTAAAGGTCGAAGACCATGAAAAGCCCAGTGGCTCAAAACACCTGCAAAAGGAAAACAACTCTCAAAAGACTGACGCAGCAAGCCGGCACGCTCCGTCAACCTTCCCTGCACTCCAAGTCCTCTAGAGCTCCTTAAGACAGGATGGGGCACAGTCCCGAGGTAGCAACCTCAAGAGCCTGAAGACAGCGCCTTGCCCATCGGAACGGGCGTCATAAATAGTTTGGAAAGCACTCAAAGGAAAAAGCAACCCTCTGTTGGAGAGGCTGAGGCAACGAGAGCGAAAGGAAGAGCGAGTTGGCCACGGCACGGCCAGCACAAAGCCTCCACACCTCCCCCGGCCCCGATGGTCACCTGTCCGTGGGGAGCAGCCCAGCCCATCGGGAGCAGCCCAGCTGAAGTTACCAGCAAGCTGAAGTGAGCCAGGCAGAGTTTTCCCCGCTGCTGAGCGGGAGAATGGCATTAAATCAATTCAGATCCGAGCGGATTCTAGGGAAAACCCTAAAAACACACTCAAATAAAAGAAATCTGCAGTCATACTGTTAGCAAAGTTGAATTCTCACTCTGAGAGTTGAGGTTCTTACGTCAGGTCACTCGTCACGTCAATAAAAAGGCCCTGGTGCAGGCTGGAAAGAGAGGGACATTTCTGCCAGACCCTCCCTCCTTCCCGAGACAAACCTGCTGATGGTTTGAAGACCACCTACACAAAGTTGTTAAAGCTCAGAAATATCTCGTTATTGATTCAGAGGATTCATTGTCCAGTGGTTCAAACCTTACTGAGGGCCTGGAGATTGGAAAAGACGCGGTGCTCTGCTTTTGGTGGCCGAAGGTTCCCGAGCATCCTGCTGGGAGAGGAAGCACAACCTCTGAAACCAGGTGTTTTTTGGCAGAGCAATAGGCAGGCTCCGAGCTGAGAGCGTGGCGTGGCCGGAGTGCCGGATCACAACCCAGAGCTCACGTCTTTCTCCAAACATCTCAGCCCTTGGAGGTTCAACCAGCAGCAAGAGCAAAAACCAAGGCAAAGCAGAATTAAAGGCGAGATCGCAGAGAATCTCTTGGCAATTCTACCTGGGAATAAACAAAAGTTTCATATGCAAATAGAGAGCCTGGGGCAAAAACATGCCTGCAGGCTCTTCGGTTCTCCTGATGCTTTTTCTACAGCCTGAATCCACTCAAAGCCAGAATATCTACATGAAACACTCGGTGTTTTATTCCCAGGCAGGCTGGAGGGTTTAGCACTTTACCGCAGAGGAAGAACTGTGCAAACCTGGATACAGCGGTTGATTTTACCACTTCAAACTAAAAAAAAAAACCAAAAAAAACCTCTAAATATTTTAAAGGTAGGGATTGCTTGGTATCAGCACTAAGCATTTATGTAGCACTTGCAGTCTGTAGGCCACCAAGTGCTTGTCCAAAGTGCTCAAATATGACTTATCCCCATTTTACAGATGGGAGAACTGAGGCACAGAGAGGTTAAGTGACTTGCCCAAGGCCACGCAGTCAGAGAGTGGAGGCAGAGCAGGAAAGCGAGCCCGGCTGTTCTCGGAGCGGGTTCCACCTTTCCTGCTAAAAAACAAACCAAAAAAACGGCCTGTGCAATCCAGAAAACCACCAGCCACCAAACCTACCCTAAGTACTTCGAAGAGGAAATACATTCTGGTGAAGAGTTAGAACAGCATTAACCGAGGGGAACAGGGGGCAAAGGGAGGGACACGACCCCGGCGGGTGTCACAGCCGACACGGCCGGGCTGGAGCGGGATAAAAGGAAGGGGGGAACGGTGGGACCAGCAGGAACGTGCGTTAGGCTGACGCGAAACGCTGGGCTTAGCTTTGCGCGGCCGCTCCGAGGAGCCGTCCGTGTCCATCCGCAGAGCTGGGCACCTCCAGCCGCTCCCGCCCGGGCTCAGCGCCTGCCGACGGAGGCTTTTGGGACCAACGCAGCTTTTGGGACCAACGCAGCCAAACCCCCTCCGCTCGCACGCCTGCGTCGCCCCGGTTCGCGGTTACGAGTCAAGATTAAGCATCACACAGGGTAAGAAATCACATCACTGCACGGCACCGAAGGACATTTGCCTGCGACATACAGAGTGTCGGGAAGAATTAATCGCAACCACCCTCTTCAAAGCTGGCACGCACCGTACCTGGAGGGGGAGACGCCCTCGCGTGAGATCGGCCCCGCGCTCACACGGTGCCCAGAACGCGTCACCGAGGCTCAAAAGCATTTGCACAGACAAAGGGTGATTTCTCACGCCTCAGACTGATTGGAAGGCTCGGGGGGGTCTTTCTGGCTTTTCCCTTTCAGAGATAGGTAAGGAAAGATGTCACGCGTGGTTTCGCTGTTACCTTCACGTTCAAAGGAGGCTGGGAAGGGGGAGGCGGGGAGATTTTCACAATTACAGCTTTCCTGGGATTATTTGGTCATGTTTTTTTTATCATAATCAGATTCACGGGATTACCAGTTCCTGTCTGGGTTGTTAGGTTCTTGTCAATTAATTACACCCTGTGTCATTTAATTTCTTCCGGCGATTGAGGGCCAGCTGCTCAATCCCACACTTTCTCCCTAAAGGCGCGCCGCGGACGCAGATGTCAAAAGCTCTGTCTGTGCCTTTGAAGCCTAGAGATCTCTCCCAAAACCGAGGTGCAACACCCCCCACCCTTCCCACCCCACCACCGAAG